TTTTTTTTAAAGATACATTTTCCCCCCTTTATTTTTAGTTCCTGTTTCTAGTTCTCATATGGCTGCCTCTGCTTGCCAGGACTCTACAAGTCGTTTCTTATCAACTGGAAAATTTAGTGATCCGAGAAAAGCTGATCTACAGTTAAAGCCAAAGGCCTTACAGACCATCTCCAAAGAACGACCACACTCATTAGTGGATCTTAAGGCCTATAAAGACACAAAAATTTTAGTGGCTAAGTTTTTGGAACATTCAAATTGTAATCTCCCCCCAGAAGTACGACACGTTGTGAACAGCATTAGATCTGTAATTAAATCGGATGAAAGACACATGGAAGAAGCCATCTTCAGTGCCAACATTATAGACCAGGTAAGGTCCATTATGGTTTTTTATGCCTTTACTTAACTATGATAAACACATAACCCAATATAAAAACAACTGATTAAATCATACAGAATACTTTTACTAGCATACTTGGCTTTGGGTTGTTTTTTTTTTAATGGCAGGCCAAGCTTTTTTTTTTTTTTGTAGTGAACAAAACATATTTGAAGATGGTCTTTTGCTTCACAAAGCAGGAACTAATACTAATGATATTCAAATAAATATGGAGGGAACACCCACCTATTTATAACTTTGTCCACCCCAAATATAACCTTGGGTGGGAGCAGATAAGATATTTGCAGAGGGGTGTCTGTTTGTATACAGACTACAAAAATTGAGGGATTGACTCAAATGCTGAATTCTTACAGCTCCTAGAATGAAGGAGTAAGGGATCTTTATGCATTTGACTGTGGAATAAAGTTGGGCTGAAATGCGTGGAGGGGACCATAGAAACAAAGGGACTGAACGGTGAGAGCTATGTAGTGCAGTTTGTAATCTCACAGATGAACTGCATGTTTTTTAACAGCCAAACTTTGAAGTCCTTGATTTCAATGGGGCTTTACCTGAATAAAGCTGCAGAACTGGCTGTTTATTAGTTTTTTTGTGTTACAAAAATATCAGCTACACAGAGGGCATTCCCCTCAACGTAATAGAGACAGGTAGAACACAGACACATGCTAACCCATATTTAGTAAGATCCTAAGATTCGTACATACCTGGGCGGAGGGATGGCATGGGTACATGGGAGCAGCTGCCTATTCTAGATGTCGTCTCTAAAGCATTTGCCTGCTCTTCATTGCTCCTTCTCCAGGAGCATGTCAATACCTTGCATCCTTAAAAATGGATGGTGATAGCTAAACAGCATTGTGAGAGAAACTGATGTGCAGTAGAAAATGCACGGTATTGAGAGCAAGATGGTCTTTTGCTAGCTGCCAAGCAGAACAAAGTGGAATACTGGTTCACAGCAGAATGCTGCCTGGAAAGCAGTAATATCCTGAGATGCTTAGAATTAATTGCAAAATGATGCTGTACTATTAACATATTTATTGCTTTCTAACATTATTGATTGTTAACTCCCAAAGGTTAGAAAGCTGAAATCAGTGTACTAGGTTTTTAATGCAAAACTATAACTTCTCACAAAGTGACCTACCAAAGATGAATTAGTGTTTTATATAGATAGTAAAAACAAAAACCAATAGTGCAATTTTTATCAAGTGCAGGCTTTTGAGATCCATGAAGACAGATAGCTGCTTCAAAAAAAAGCCGTTTTATTGAAGTTTTCTAGTCACCAAACAGTACTTCTCACTAAAAGCCCAAGCAGTGCCATGAATATGCTCATGTTGCTCATCAGCCTTTTCTCGGAAGTTGACTACTTCAGAGCTACATGTGTAAATGGAAGTGGCAAGCTGATTACCAAAGGGCATTTTCTGTACCCCGTCTATATAGGTCACCAACTGAGAAAACACATTACTCAGATGAATTTAGCTATTGATTGGGGAAAGTAATACCACCCCTTTCTCTCCCTTGCTTCCCCCAACTTCTAATACACACATACAGGGTACGTGCTGGCAGAAGGGCTGGCCGGGGCACGAGGGTGCTCTAGTACAGGTCTAGCTGGCAGGTATTCCCTGCACTGAAGCACTCTCATGTCTCAGCCAGCCAGGTCAGCATCTACACGTGCATTGTGGTACACTAAAAAACTGCAGCAGGGTAGTACTTGTATTTACTACAGAGTTTATTAGTTTACTATGGCTTAATAGGGCCACATATGTAGACACTGAAATGTTTACTTTTTAGCTAATTGGGCAGCTCAAGGTAAATGTCTCATGTAGACAAGCCCATGTAGTGGTAATTCAGGCAAACTCCTTCCTCACTTACTCCTCTTCTCCTAATCCCAACCATATCAATGATCTTGGACCATGCTACACTTGCTATAGTAAGATTACAGGAAGAATCTGTCTGATAGAAAAGCTTGAGGTCATCCCTGGTTAGACCCAGGCTTGACACATGGAGTTACATAGGACTAACCAATTGGCAAACCTCCAGAACCTATTTTATTGGCATCTTAAGAGGAAGAGGTGGGGAAATGTTTTCTGTTCCTACCTCCCATATGCTGACCTATACCTTGCAATGGAAGAAAGCACCAGGGTCCCAGCAGCAAAAGCACAGTCCCTTCTACTGGATATAGGCTGGTATCCTCTGTGGGCCAACCTTTTGAGGGTAATATAAGAGCACATCTAGTCCCTAGCAGTCCCTCTATTATGTAAAATTTAATAAAACAGTGAGTATAAAATTACTACATTACACAAATGACAATCTCTGAACAGAAACAGTTCTTGTCCTCTCTCTTCTCTCTATTCTTTAAACAGGTCATGACAAGTTCTCAGCAGAATGTGAATACTTCTAGAAAGCGACTTCAAGAAGAGCTTCACCTGCAGAGCTGTGGTGCTTTGAGTTCTCCAGTTGCCTTCTTACGTAGGTCTCATATCACTCGCAGTTTAGAGAGGGACAGGCCTCACACTTTAATCGGAGTTTGCCGAGAAACTATTCTTTGATAACAGCTGACAGGTATATGAAGGAAGGCTCATGCCAGCAAAAGAGAAATTTGGGAAGGACATGGGGAAATGCAAATAGTGGGTCGCTTAAAAAGGAAAACGACTTCTTTTTTGGATTCCACTTTTTATCAAACAGCAGAAGGACCTCCATGTTTTTTCTGAATGTAAATGTAACCCCTGCATTTTACACAATTTATTATTAAACTTGTAAGAACTGTTTTCCCAAGCAGAAAAATGTTTATTTGACTGTTCTGGTAGAGATACTGCTGCTGCTATGCAGTATTTCTAGAAAACCACCACCAAACCACAAGAGACCTGTTGTACAACGTACAAGTTGTATTTATTTAATGTACCTCACAGTGTTTTAACTACAATCAGTGTTTTAATAAAAAGTATTTCTGGACTTTGCTTCCGTAAAACCTGATTTGGGTAGAAATATAGATTTGTTTTTATTAATACAGGTGTGAAAGGTTGCTTCCTCTGGTCCCTTCTTTCTATGCCCAATTGTACAGGCTCTCACTTGCCAGGCAGATTGTTCTGCCCTGTTATAGCTGTTTTTCCCTCTAAATGCCTTGCCCTTTTTCAAATTCTAGTAAAGGCTGCAGCATGATTTATTTCTGCTTTGTTCTGAATGCTCATGAGTTTATTGATGGTGTGGGAGATGCTGTTGCAGTTTCACTACAAATGATTTTTACAAGGGAGGAAGCCTCTGCAATGCTGAATTCCCTGACCAGCTGACTTTCATAACCTTTTGTAAACAAGCAACTACTGACCTAAAACTAGATGTGCTTTTGCCATCCAACAGAGCCTTCATCTTTCTCTGACTTCTTTATTCCGTTTATTAGCACGGAGCGTTTTATTACTAAAACCTCCTCCCTGCGGTTTTGCACTTTTGAGGAATTAAATATTGCTCTCAAAAAGCCTCAACCAGAACCCATGTCAATTCCTTTCCAGTTTGATTATTGTTCTAAAGACGCTCTTGCCTGAAAGTGTCTTTCTTAAAGAACACAGTAGTGCAGACTGCAACTCTTAAGTGTTCACTGGCAACAGGAAAGGATTTAAATATGGTGTTTTCATAAGGAATCCAGCATCATTTGAAATGTCTTTAAATTCTTTTGGTAGCAGTGTTTGTCAAGAGTGTTAGTTTCCACTAGAAACACTGCTCTGGGATTTAATCATTCCGTTTTTTTCATTTGTCATTCTGAACTTGGCATACATCCTGTAGAAAAGTCACAAAGGAGTGTAGGTAGAGATAGGGAGGTTTAATTTTTCAGCCATCAGTATTTTAAGTAATAACTATGTCAACTGTGTTGGTGTGAAGCTACAGTGCCATCCAGTGGCAGAAGGTATGCTGTAACGGCAAGGACCCATTCACATTTATTTTTTAATATAATGTAGATAATTCACCACAACCTAATTCTTACTTCAAGGCAGGAGGATGAATTCTGTTAGAGATCAACTATCTCCATTCTTTGCAACTGCACTTAGATGAAGAATTAAACAGGGATAGTTCTGACAGGCTTTTAAATTCTGTAAACTTATCAACAGAATAAACAAAATGAGCAAGTTTTCTTTATTACTCCAGATTTATTAGTGATATTAGATTAATTCTTTCCTAAGGTCAGTTGCATGCAACATGTTACTCCTTGACGTACAGTAATCCTAAAGCTTTTTAGTTACTGCATGGTAAGGCTTCTTAAGTCACAGTGTATTTTCTTCTTGGCCAAAAAATCTAGACAAAATGTTACATCAATTAACATTGATCTCATAACAAGTACAACTTTACTACTACTTAGGTTAGCTATGCACATTCTAATACTGTGGATGGTGCTAGTTCCTCAGCTGCCAGAAACAATTTACATTCAGAACAAATTGCCTCAGGAATAAGAATGTTTGTATAAAAGACAATGACAGGTAAGCATGGCTTTCCCAGTTTGAGCTAATTGAATCCAAAAGGTAATTAAAAAAGGATAAAATGAACAAAAACACATGCACAAACTAGAACAAGTTAAGTTCTAGAGAAGGTGTCCTGTTAAATTAAAAATAAATATGTATCTAAATAAATATTTTGATTTTTATCTTGTGGCAATTCTTTATTTCACATACAAGACACTCTTTCCTTTTGTTACACATTTATATTCACACCTTGCCAAACTCGCAGTTATAGGTTACACTTGTCATAATGAAACCAAGTACTACAGCTGTTTTCTTTCCATTAGAATCTAATAGCTTTAATTGCACACATTCCTATTCACTGAAATTTCTGAAACACCATCTAGCTCGGTCCAGTTTTTAAGTTATGTAATACCAGAAGTGTTGGACCACTTTATGGAGTTGAGATTTGTTTTAATTCGTTTTGACCATTACTTTAATTGCTTAATTTTGTAGTCAGTTTCCTGAAGTCTCACTCATCAAATGTTCACATTCACCACGTTATTATCAAACATGACAGACAAACATACATCACACCACATAAAGGTTACAAATAAATATGTTTAAGTTTCAATGAGAAAAGGGTTTAGAAGATGTTGCAAAATACTTAAATGTTTTACAAAGATTTTGTCAGTGATTATTGTCCTTGATAAAGATGGTCATCACTTTTTGGCAAAGAAATAAAAAGAAAAGAAAGAAGGCAGAGAAGCCTGTCCCTTCAGTTTGCAGAATCTTCAGGTCCTGTTTCAAAACCTTTCACTCCTAGAAAATACAAAATTCTCTTCAGCTGTGAAGCCTTCGACTTTGTTGGAATCAGTTCTTTTGTTGATAGAGCTTCGTGCTAGATATACAGGGGTGTCTCTTGTCCAGTTAGAAGCCTGAACATTGCAGCTGGCATAGTCTTCATATGAATCTGTCAATTGATGTACACAATATTTAATAATAGCATTGTTAAAATTGAGGTAGGGTGTCTGTGTGTGTTCATGTTCTTTAAACGACACAGTATCAGGCTGGCCAAAGACAGTAAACAGTACCTGTTGCCAATTTTTTCCTATCACCACAGCCCAGATAAAGGAAAAAACAACATTTCCCTTGCTTGCTCCAATACTGACTGGCATTAAATTTTCATTTCTTTGCCACCACTCACTCCTTACACACGTAGGTTCGCCAAAGCAGAATGTAAACCATTAAGCATTCAGCTTGGACTGTGCCACCCACGATGTTCAAGTGTGTTCAGAACAAGTACCCCCACTCCTACTAAATCAGGGATTTACAAGGAGTGCCACTTGCATTCAGAAAAGCAAGGGTGGTTGGAATTTAACAGAAACAATGAAAGATACCAAGTAGCCAAAGGATGCAGCTGCTCCATATATTAATTTACAGTGCAACACGTGCCTTGGAAATATGAAGGGTGGGAGGTAGCTAAAGGTTTTATTACTGACGCTTGTTTCTAGCACCTGCAACAAACATAGCATGGCTTTAATAAACCACCTAAAACCTGGAGCAAAATAATCAACTTGCCACCTTGGATTTTATAGTAGGAGCCATGTAATGCTCCAGTAGCAACATGACGTTAGCTTGAACTCCAATCCCACCTCAGTGAATATTTTGGGCAAACAGTCAGCCCAGGGGTTGGCAGTGTTTTTGGGCAGAGTGCCAAACACACCTCAACCCAGACTTCTCAGATGTTGGCATGCCGGGGCAGATGGCAGGGAAGCTGCGAGGGGGCCCGATCCTTGTTGTGGCAGCACAGACCCAGCCCCTTCCCCACCATCCGCCTCGAGGCACGCGTGCCAAGTGAAATGCAGGCAGTGGCACATGTGCTAGGGATTGCCAACCCCTGAGCTAGCCGATACCTTACTGAACATGGTATAAAATGACACTGATGTAAATGCCACATGACTGCTTCCATCCCAAGTTATTTGTTTGTCATCATCTCCTGTGTTAGTCCCTAATTTTGCCAAATGTGCCAATGAATGGTGACAGACGTTCCAGTCTACAAAACGATTCCCAAACAAAGCAAGAGAGATGCAACAAGAATGAAAGGATGAAAATATGCATCACCATGAATCTTTCAACTCTTTGAATATTTATGTAGCTTATCACTGAAACATCTGAGGTGGAAATGGGGACATTTTTCATAGGTCTTGGCTATGATGTACCACAGAAGTCTTCACTTCTCTGGAATATGTGCCATGAAACTTCAGTATCACTCATCTTTCTTGAAAATTAATGGTAAAAATCCACATAAGGTGGCCCGAGTTGCTTTACAATGTATTCTTGTTTCTCCAGCTCTGATTTATAGACTTGGATCTTTCATGCAGGTCTAACACTACATTGATTTCAACAGCAGGAACACAAATCTATAGATCTTTTCACTCACCTCTTTCAGTGCTTTGATAAACTATCTCATGTGAGTATATTCTTACCTCTCCCACCGAGTTAGACAAGGCTTGTACTATCTTCTCGTGAGCAGTGGCCACAACACTTTGCCCATTGATCTCAATAATACGATGTCCTACTCTGACCCCTCCCCTCTCAGCTATTCCACCTCTCATCAAGCTGCAGATCTGTCAGGAAAAATCAAGCAGAATTGAATTGCATTAAATAAGAAACTAGCAGTGACTGTGTTGAGGGGTAAACAATAAAAGTTAATGGCACTGAAAGGTGTTTTGTAGTGACTCCAAGAATTGTGCTAATTCACAAATACTGGGGATTTGCTTTCGGCTGCATGCTTTTTTTTCCAAATTACTTCAATTTTGCACTTCATTTCGGAGGAGTTAGACAGTGCATAGCTCACCCAATTCAGCCAGTCAAATATAAAAATATCTGACCCAGAACCACAGACAGGAAGTTTCAGGGAATATTGGAGCAAGAATAACTGGACTGACTAAAATATAAATCTTAGTATGTGTTTTACGAAGCTGCTGTGGCCTCAAAGCAAAAAAACCAAACAACTCCACAAACGCTCATTCCAAGTACCTTTCCCTTAGATTTCTGGGTGCACAACAACCTAATTCTCCCAATGAGACACCATGCAGAGATGCCTCCAGAGAAATGTAGCTAAGAAATGAATGAGAAAGGAAAAAACAACTAAGAAAAATGAAGAACCGGTGCTGAAATGACACTGTGTTGGATGTGTTTCCTGAGACAGAGAGAAAGCTAACACTGCTGCAGAAGTGCCATTTGTAGCATGTGATACCAGGGTTGTTATGGGAATCACTTTCTGGGTACACTACATCTTTAATGCGGCTATATAAAACTAAAGCTTAGCAGTGCAGCAGCTCCTGTGGGGCCATTCCGTAAGTGAAGGGGACGTGACTTACCCCAGATTAGTAATGCCAGCACCTGAAGAGTTTCCTGAACAGGTGGGCATCAAGCCTGCAGAAAAAAAAAGTTGAACTGTCCCCTAAAGACTTCTGCCTATCCATAGAATTGAACCAGCCTGGCCCTCAGGCACACAAGCTCCCAGCAAGCATCCTTTAGTAGTTATTTGGTCCCTGAACGACACTGGCAGCCACACAGAATAGGTTGATGTAAAACTGGAATTAGATCTGCCTCCTTATTTGCATGAAGGCTCTGCCGGTACTAAACAGCAGGTGGCTTTGTGGAGCTGGGCACAGCCATTGGCATTTTGAAATTGAAACAAGATTTTTTTTTGTCAGTTTCCTGAAGGTCTCTCCCGCCCAGCCAGCTGTTGGGGGCATGTTCAGCCAGTACCATAAACCGAGGACATCCAGTTTCCGCTCTCCCCTTCACAAAGCAACTGCAAAAGACCATAACAATCTATCCTAAGTGATCTGCAGAAAATATTTACTGCAAATTAACACATCAGGAGATGAGCTAGTGATGATATGTAATTGCCACTGGGACTCTCTCTTTCGTGCTCATTTGATTTGATGTACTTGTGACTGAAACTGTCAGCTGTGTCTGCGGTTATTCCCAGGTAGCTGTCTACACGCTCCCCACCACATAGTGGCAAGGTTTTGTAAATATACAGGCTGCTGTGACTGTCCCATAAGAGCTGATGGTCAGTTTACCCAGGGTGATTTGCTCTGCACATGGGGCCTCTCAGTGGGAATACTGAGGCAGTAGGAATACAAGTTGGGATGTTTACATGGCGCTCTCCTGCAATAGTTTTTCTCTTTAACCCAAACACCCCCACACTGTCCCCTCAGTTGCTATCTACCTTTCTGCCCAGCCTCCTTTCACTGAATCCCTAACAGATGACCTCTGGCAATTACATGCACCATGGTTACACATAAACTCTAGTTTAAAGGAGAATTAACGCAGCAGCAGCAACTGCCCCTCTGAGTTCTGTAAAGCAATATTGTATTCTTTGCCCTGTCTCCCTGCAGTCAGTGAGGTTGCTCAGATTATGGCTATGGCTGGCCCTAGCCCATACACACAAATATAAAAGGTAATTTGACTTGATGCAGCAAAACCTTAAAGAGGTTACAGCATAGTGCTTAGTCCTTATTACATCTCCAAATTGCAATCTAGTAGCAAAGGCTGCTAGTCACGGGAGCTCTGGGTGTTGAAACCTGCCTGTGGTTTACAAATTAAATAATTCATTCTTAATTTAATATTGCAGTAAAAGAATCCCATGCAGAGGCACAAATAAAGCCAGCTGGTGAAGCACTCTAAGGAGGCAGCCCTCTGACTTGCTGAAACCCAGCCTGGCGGTGCTGTATGCATGTGGGAGGAACAGCCCACTGCTCTGGGCTTGCTGCCAGTACAGCAGCAAGCTCCAGTTTGTACACGTGATCTGAGTGCCACTGCACAGGGAAACAGCTCTTGACCAGTAGTAGTAGTAGGAAATTGAGCTGCTGTATCACTAGCTTGAGGATTAACAACCCTTGAGCTTTACCCTGCACCCCACTACCTCCTGAGATGCTTCAGCTAGCTCAAGCTTAAAGCCCTGGAGCAGGCTGTCCAAGGCGGTTATGGCATTTCCATCCTTGGAAGTTTTTAAGATCAGGTTAGACCACTGGTACTCAACCTCCAGCCTGTGGGCCAGACCCGGCCCATAAGACCATGGCATCCAGCACAGGGGATTCCTCGTGAGTCCAGCAATGTATTAATTGCCACACCCCTCCTGCCAAATTTGCAGACCCTCTGGGGAGCCCTGTGAGCCAGATGACCCCGCCTGCTAGACTGCACCATGCTGGGGTCACACCCAGATCCAGTGCATGAGGTTGGGAAGATACCTGTTGTCCCTCCAGCACCAGCATCAGCGCACATTTTTGGGCAGGCGTGTGGCAAGATTGCACCTGCACACCAACTCCATGCTGAACCTGGCCCGCAGACCAGCCCCATACCACTCATCATCCCACAGGGCCAGAAGGGTAGGCACCACTAGATTAAACAAACCCTTGACTGGGATGGTTTAGTCAGGGACAATCCTGTTTAAATGTTCACTGGTGTCAGTGTTAACGAGCTTTAGTACAACAAGCTTTAGTTCAAGCACCCCCACTGCCACTTTTAAGCACTGGGATGCTGGTCTCCTGGATGAGCCTCCCACAGCTCCGTCCTGCTCCCTGCCCTGGCCCTGGGGTCCCATTCACTGCCCCACTCCCTCCCTCACCATGGGGGCCTCGATCTGCCCCCCCCCCTTATGCCCCTTGTCCTCCATAGAGTTACCTGCAAAGCACTGCTCTCCACACTGCCCAGCTGCATTCCTGTAAATTGGTTATCAGATTGGTACTGGCCGATATGCCTGGTGAATAATTGGCTATCGGTACTGGCCAAGAAAATCTTTATCAGTGTACACCTACCTGGATTGTCTGCACACCTGAAACTCTTTAACACCTTGAGGTCTTAACACCTGAAACTAGGGGTCTTGTTATACCTTATGCTCTGAACCACACAAATGTTGATGGGTGTTGGTGCTAGCTCGAGCTTGGAGCAGTTGCACTGCAGGCCAGCAGTGGCCTGGAGGACTGAAAGGTAAGAATCCCTCTGTCCTGTTCTGGGCTTCCCCCTGC